TGATCAATAAAAAATATCTTATCTTAACTTAAAAATGGGGCAAGTACTCAAATTGGTACCCGTACATTAAGTCCCTTTTCTTCAAAATAAAAGCAAACCAAAGTTAAAACACATTTAGAAACCCTGAGATCGTTGATATTGAAACATGCTGCAAGCTATTAAATTTTTCATAACTTAAATTTTCAGATCATGGAAGAGGCCCACTGCGATGCTGTGGCGATTCTGGGTGAGGCATTCTCTGTGGATGTTTTTGACTTTGGCAAACAGAATGTGACCGCACGCATCCAGAACCTCATACCGGTCATGATGAAACATCGGCTGACACCACCTCCAGAGGAGACGTATTCACTCCATAGAAAGATGTCTGGTGCCTTCCTGCTGTGCGCAAAGCTCAAGGGCAAAGTGAATTGCAGGGTGATGTTTGAAAATATTTGGAACAGGTACAAGTTTGATGGCAGTGATGACCTCAATATGTAGCGGCTGGATATTGATCCAATAAATATGTAATGAACAAGTTATTAAAATTAATTAATGGTATTACTAACTTGAATTGGAACAGGTAAACGTTTGATGGCAATGGTGACCTCAATATGTAGGAGCTGGATCTTTTGTAATGACATTGATCAAATATATATTTTATTAATAAGTTATTAATTAATTTCATTACTAGCTTTGAGTTGAGGAGATAGCGGGTGAGTAGTGTAGAGCATGGAAGCTGTGCATCAAACATTGATCCATAAGATTTAAATGATAGAGAGGCTGTGGAATGCAACTGGCAGAGAGTGAGAGTGAAAGATGGAGACAGAAATGAAGGCGCATTATAGAAATCTCTGGGAGCTGGACAAGCAAGGAAGTGACAATTATTTTTGGGGGACAGTATTGTATTGTAATGGTCTTGGCTAGCTTTACTGTAACTATTTGGATCAGTGAAAGCATCTTATCTTATCATCAGAGACAATCTCTGTATTTTATATTAGCTTTAAATTTAAAAAATTAAACCGTTTTATGCAAATGTTCTGTGTATACACCATGCCACTGAATCCTATGTACTGTAAAAGTAAGATAACTATTCAAAAGGGCATCTGAATAGAGATCACTCACAAGTGATCACATCTCTAGGAATAAGATACTAAATTAGACAATATATGTAACAGTGCTTTCTTTAAAAAATATTTAATTACTTTTAAGGTTTTTATAAACTAAATAAAATATTGCCTTATATTGTTCAGAAGACAAGAACAAAGATAATTTTTTTGTTTAATGTATTAGTTCAAAGAGGAAATTTTCATGCACTTTGTTGATGTCCATTATTAAAAGCTGAGAATTTTAACGTTTATTTAAATTTTTCATTTCTTGTTACAAGAAATATTATGACAAGGATAGAAGGTGTGGACTGGGTGCATCCCAGGGTTAAAAAAATATTCACCTTTTTGATCTATCCACAATTTTCTTTATTCATTGAAATATACATACTGCATTCAAGATATTTATTTTGTGATAGATTTTGTACCTGATGATAAGCAAGCAGAATTTATACTTCGACCCATTTTCTGTATTTTTTACTTTTAATTTAACTAAATTGTCTTTCCTTACATTTTTTTTTAGTTGCTAGGGAGAAATGTAAACATATCTCAGACTCAGAATATTATTTGTAGAAATATTTTATTTAAATCATCTCTTCTGTTCATTTTTGTTGTTTCATATTTTCTGTTCATCACTAGATGAAGCTCAAATATTAATAAATTTAATGAACACAAACAGATGAAAAAACAAATGGATTCAGTTTTGTTTAATAACAAACTTTATACTAACGCGTACTAACATATTTTGACGTTGTCATGTGTTCCTATTTAACAGTTTTGGAGTATCTTGCAGAGTGTGTGAAACACAATTACTTTCAATGGTCAAGACAGACCTGGGCCTCATAACTTTTTTGTCCTTTTGATTTTCAGTCCTGTCAAATTGTATTTATAGAGTGGGGTTGTAAAATAAACTGATACACACTGACACATGGAGCACACACACTGACACATGAGAGCATACACACTGCACATGAGAGCACAACCAGATCAAAGTTTTCTCTTGAACTCGACACAGCAAAGTCAAATTCTCTTTACTTTTATTTCACTGTTTGCCTCAGCTGAAGAAGACATTTTGCAGACATGTTCATCAGTTGTTCAGATTCTCCCCTACCCTGTGTTTCTTATTTCCTGATTGCAGTCTCCCACAATGACTCTTCCCAGTACCAACTAATTACATGGGTATATGAGTTCCCTATATGTTTTTATTCTCGTCTTACCATTTGCCTTACGACGCTGCCTACCCCTGACTCTGTCCAACCATATTGCCATGGTGTTGACCAAATCAAAAAGCAACCCTCAAGCTGCTGAACAGTCTAAACTAACCCATCCAATGCTATCAGTATCAGAATTCCAACATAACTGGAAAGTCATTTTAGATCAGGGGTCTCAAACTCAAATGATCCGGGGTCGCAGTGGGTTGAGTCTGAGTGAGGCTTGGCCGCATCAAGTATCCCACAAAAAAGCGATTACGAATTAATTTAAGTGCAACTGTTACAATGTGCTCAACCTTTATTAATAACAAATAAAACCATTAAGGGTTCGCAAGAACTAGGCTTCACTTTCTTTCTCCTACTCCTTGTTGCCAAAGATCTGGCAGCGCTTTTTCTTACACAGCTGAGCAACATTTGGCTTGAGTGAGGAAGCAACTGAGACCCTCAGTATAGCTTGAAGATGCTCATAAGTAAATTTGGCCCTGAACTTTGTCTTGTTAAAGTTCATAGTGGAAAAGAGCTTTTCACACAGATATTTACTCCCAAAAAGACACATGATCCGCGTGAACAACCTCGAAATCTCAGGGAAGGTGAAGGGCAATGCACTTATTAATTGTCCATGCCTGTCTATTTTTCCATTCCCCTCCCTGAACTTGCCCCGAAGGTCAATCAGCTCAATTTGAAGCGCAGGGTGGGGGGCAATGTTCCCTCTAAGGTGTGTTGGTTCGTGTACAAAATCATACAGTTGTGTGCAAAATTTTACAGCATCAATTTTTTTTGTGTGCAAAATTTTACAGCCCACAAACGTAAACACACACTTACATGGAAATTAGCTGCGCGGTACTCAAAACTGCTATGCGGCGTCTGTGAGATAGCAGGTGGGAACATTGGTGGGGGGCATCCTTGAAGGAGAAAGGGTCAGCAACAATTTGAAAAGTGGCTCTGTGTGTTTTTTGAAGGCTGCAAACGTGATTAAATTCTTCCTGTAGCTTTGAAATGGCATCAGTATAATTACTACTGAATGGTGTGCCCGAGTCCATGAGTACTTTCCATGTTGGGAAATGGCAGAGGTTTCTCTGAGAACCATAACACAAATTGTATGCAGAATGCCCTGACATTGTCATAGGCACTGGAAGATGCTATTATAGGGAGAATTAATTTTGATTGTTAATCATAGAAAAGGCCTTTTTAAATAACCCTATTTTGAAAGTGACCAAGCTGACAGGCTTGGAATTTCTCTCACTTGTAAACACTAGCGGCAATTTTAATAGGGATTCTTTGATACTGTGTCAGGGTGTTACGATTTACCCCATTATGGTTGTGCATTACCAACGAAGGGGTCCTTCCCAAATTACGTCCCGTCAAAAATTTTCAGACCCCCCCCCCCTCTTCCCCCTGTGGCACATTGACACAAATTCTTTACACCCCCCCCCCACACACTTTTTTAGTGCCACGTCACACCTAAAAATAATCGAAACATACATCAAATTTTCATAACTATACTAAGATTTTTATTTTATTCTTTAACATTTTCCCATAATGGATTAAGATGTAATATTATTAGAAAACTGTGACGTAAAAAGCTAAACAATGAAGTCCTCCCCGAGGATGAATTGAATAAAGATTTTTCAAAATTAGAAAATTTTAGATTTGACAAAATTTTAAGAAATTGTAACGTCACTAATTTTGAACACCTCACCACACC